ATCTTTTACAGAGAATCCCTAGGTTTTAGGGGTTGAAAGAGAAGAAAATCTGACAGGATGATCTCCTTATCTATGAAACTACATTTTTTTTAAAGATTTTATTTATTTATTCATGAGAGAGAGAGGCAGAGGGAGAAGCAGGCTCCCAAGGAGCAGGGAGCCCGATGCGGGACTCGATCCCAGGACGCTGGGATCATGACCTGAGCCAAAGGCAGACGCTTAACCATCTGAGCCACCCAGGTGCCCTGAAACTACATTTTTAAATAAAAGGTGGGGCATTAGATTCTGACAATGGAACAAAATGTATAAAAATAGAACTTCACAGGAAAGCTATGACAACTGGTTAGCATTCTCTTTATTACATAGCTTTGTTACTTAAAGAACTTTTAATAATCCAGAATATAGACTAAAATATTACAAAGCAGAGTTTTTAAAATATACTTTGTTAAATGTTTACTTTGGACTAATTTTGATATTTTCCACAGTCAACTACATAATAACTTTTAAAATGTTCCCAGTAGAAAAAAAGATGTTCCCAATAGACTGATTATAGAGCTCTCCAACATATTATAGTAGAATATGCTTTGGATTATAATCATTCTTATTTTTTTAGATTTTGTTTGTTTATTTATTTATTTGAGAAAGAGAGAGAGTACGCAAGTGGGGGAAGGGAAAGGGGCAAGCAGACTGCGCAGAGCCCAGTGGGGGACTTGATCTCATGACCCTGAGATCATGACCTGAACTGAAATCATGAGCCCCTGGATTATAATCATTCTTAAAGCTATCAAGTGAAAAACAATTTCATTTGCCTATTTTTCTTTTTGCAATAAATTAATATTAATAATAATATACAGGAGTTGTATTATATATTATTTCTTTTCAAGAAAATGCTAAATATAATTTCAACAAAACAGTAGTATTTGCAAAATATACAAAGCAACAGTATTGATAAATGAAAATGGTAACACTATAAAAACTTAATGATAATCTTAGAGCAAGTTTGGCATCAGCTGTGCTGATATCAGTACCCAGTAATATACTTTGCACTTTTCAAATGGGTTTTAAACATTCTCTGACTTTTGGATGTTATTATTCAACAGGAAAGTTTCATAAACATCATGAGGTAGATAGATTAACGTTCCATTTCACAGATTGAAGGCCGTAGGAAGCAAAGTTTTCTTCTTTTAATTGTAAGACATGATTGCATTGCTCTCATTTCTTATTAGCTATAGTTAAAACTTTAAGGCAAGGCAAATATTGAAACCTGTAAAAGAATGTTTATTGTAAGTATTTACAAAAACAGCTTAATCAAAAATTTTAATTTGCTGCCTTTTAGTGGGCTTTATGTAGTTATATTTGTTTATAAAACGGATTTTCTAATGTGACAGTAAAAAGAGCAAAAAGAAAAACAAACATTTGTTGTTTTAGTAGAATTCAAAATCTTTTGCTGCTCTTCATTTAAAAATAGTATAGATTTTTAATTTATACCATTTTAAGCCTTTAAATTACTGCCAATTTAACTAGCTCTGCAGGTTTGCCTCATTAAAATTATCCCCAGATATAGATGGATATACTTTTAAGTGGTGTTGTTTGTTGTAATTGTAAAATTGTTTTGGTCCAGAGATACTTTGCTGAAAACCACGTGAATTTAACTTACCGCATACACACACACACACACACACACACACACACACACACACACACACACA